GCTTGAACCTTGTGGTGAGCCGCTCAGTGAGTAGCCCCCTACCCCAGCAGAGCTTCTGCACCAATCGACGGTATAATCATAAACAGAGAAATGACATTATCAAGGATTTCATCTTACTCAGATCCACATTCAATGCTCACACAAACAAGAGTCAAGAAATCAAATGTCGCATTGCATTGGGCAAATCTGCCATGAAAGAAGTCTTTACAATGTTAAAGAACAGAGATGCCACTTTGAAGGAAGTGTGCCCAGCCATAGCCAGGGTACTTTCAATTGCTTCATACGCACATGAAAACGAGACACTGAATAAGGCAGCCTGCAGAAAGGTTTGTGCATTCGAATTGTGGTGCTGGCACAGAAGATCGGAAGTCCTGTGCACTGCCAGCAAGTCTTGAAACCAGAGGACTCCTTAGAAGTAAGGATGGAGAGACTTTGTCTCACTGAAACTGTGGGCCAGTGAGGAGAGACCACCCCGGGAAAGGACAGCGTGCTTGGTAGAGAGTCAACTAAAAAGAGGAAGAGCCTGGATCGATGAGATTGACACAGAGGCTGCAACGAGGGCCTCGAACGTAGGACCAATGATGAGGATGGTGCGGGACAAGGTCGTGCTTCGTTCTGTTGCACCTACGGTTGCTATGAGCTGGAACTGACCTGACAGCACCTAGCAACAGAGAGCATTGGCTTTTGTCATGACCACCGATAGGATTATTAAATTTCAGGAGCCTCAACAGTGGATGAAGCGAGAGAGAGTGAAGAACAAGCGTTCACTCACCAGCCTCACCTGTTCTCACAGGGTCCCTGAGGGGCACAAATGATTTGCATCTGACAATGCACTCAAACGAGAGCTATTCAAGCCTGCCCGGTGGGGCCACAGAAGAAAGGCCTGGTGATCTGCTGCTGGTCAGCTCGCAAGGAATCAGCTCTCAGACTCGAGTCTGCTCCATCGCCCATCAGGCTGCCGTGAGTCAGAAGGGACTTGCTGGTAACAGATTGCGTTGTTTGTTGTCGATGGCAGGGGTTGCCTGCTGGCACCTCGGAGAGGAAACGGATTTTGAAGTAGCAGCATTTCACCTCAGATTTTTCCTGCTCCCAGATATGCCTCTGCATCCTGCTGGGCTCTGGCTCTAAGCTGGCCACCCCCAGGCTCCTGACCCAATTTGTCTTCACGGATAGGCATGCCTGGTCCGAGGTGAGACAGCATCACCTTAATGCCCCTGCAGGTGTCTGCCTGTTTCCTTTGCTTGTTTTGCCGGGGGGAGGGATGCTCATCCTGAGCAAGAAAGAGGTGGGAGGAAGAAAGCCATCTGGTCATCTGTGCAGAAGGGACAGTCCCGCAGCCCTCCTCAGGAGCACCGAGTGCCCTTGGGGGGCTCTGGGGATCCTCAGAAATCCCAGCTGCAGCCCTCTGCCTCCAGGAAGCAGGGCTGAGCCTGTGTCAAATAGATGGAAAGCATAAATCCTCCCAAGGCCTTCGAGATAATTTCACATGGAAAATGAATTTTCTTTTCAGCACCATCACCCTTTTCTGAGGAAGTCCTTAGATGACCATAAAATACTGGGTGCTAAAAATGATTTCTGACTTCCAGCAACCTGTGCTCCTATGTTTCATGAAAGCCGCAGCTACAAGGTGTTGTGAGATGGGTGTCATCATCACTGTTTATTTTTTAGACGAGGCAACATCAGCTATCCAGTGAAGGAGCTGTGGCCCTTTTCCAGGGATTGCTGACGACAAAGCCCGTGTTTCCCCTCAGCAGCATGTGGCGCTGTTTACCATGCATTACCTCCTCCAGACCATTTGTTCCCCTGACTCCTACAATCCTTTCTCTAGACTCAGTCCTGCTGCTGCCCCACCCCAGTACCGCCCAGGGTTCCCTTTCAACGGATTTTTCTTCATTCACCTTGCTGGCTTCTCCTCATCTGACCCTTCCTTAAACATACTGCTATCCAGTTGATTCTGGCGCAGAGCATCCCTGGGTAGGTTTTTCAAGATTAAATTTTAACTGGGCCTGATAGCCTCATCTTTCTCCCAAGAAGCGACGGGCGAGTTTGAACTAAAGATCTCATGGTCGGCACTCCAATGTTTACCTGACAGCACCTCCAGGACTCTTGCCCTTTCCTCCGAAGCTGTCAAATCCCATCGGTTTATGCCAAAAGTATGTCTCAAGATCCACACTCTCCCTCCTTCCGTATTCTATTTTTTTTTAATCAAGCATATGATTTTAAAAGGTAAATAAATAATGCAAACATGTTTATGAGTGAGTGGAGCCATTCTAACCTCACATTAAGCAGCCTCGCCTCTGGTTCTGCTCCCAAAAAGCAGAGTTGCCCTGTAAGGCTGCAAACCCTCCTACTGCCTTTGAACGGATTCCAACTCATAGCAATCTAGCGGAGTGACTAGACCGCTCCTTAGACTTCCAAGACTGTACCTTTTTATGGAAGCTGACAGCCTCCTTTTCCTCCAGTGGAGCAGCCCAGGGCTTCACACACTGCACCTCAAGGGCTCCGTCAGTAGCTCCGGGCTCAACTTCCAGCGCACTTCCACGGTATGAATGGCACGCACCCCCCATTACCCCGCTAGAGCTGTGAAGCACTTACCCAACCTTCACCACCACATACTGTAGCCAAGTTGTAACCACTTTCAACTCTTCTTTCTCATATGATCTCTGTGGTTCCAAATGAGCATGTGTTAGACCGTGTTGACTAGAGTAACAAATTCAGTGACACTCATATATGTGTAAGAGAGAGCTTTATATCAAGAGGTATTTATCTATCAAGCAAACATCCCAGCCTGGTCCAGAACAAATCCATAAGTCTGATAGTAGTCCCTAAATCCCTCTTCAGACTTACTCAGCCACACGCAATGATACAGAGTGCAGGGAGATCGCAGGCTGGTGGGTGCAGAGTTGTGTAGATCCGATGGCGGTGTCTCTGGCATCTCTCCCAGTGACTAGACAGCCGGAAGGTGAAGCAGAGAGAAAGGGGAAGGTTCCTAGGACCCTCTTTATAAGGAAGTCATGCCCAGAAAGAGGCACCATCAGGCTGTGACCTGATTGACAGGTTGGACTCTACCCCTACACTTCAAGTTGACACAAAATTATGTAAAAACCACAAAGCAAAAACTGCTTTAGGACCATTGAAGAGCCCTGGTGGTATAGTGGTTGCTCATTGGACTGTGATACTCATGGTCCGCAGTTCAAAACTAGCATCAGCTCCATGGGAGGAGAAAGACGGCTCTCTACTCCCATAAACAGTTACAGCATCAGTTGCCAGATGGCAGTGCGTTTGGTCTGAGGACCATTGAAACACTGTTTATTGCTGAGCTTAATAGTGTACTATTCTTGTTGCTTCCTTGTCCAACATTAGATTTTAACATTGTTGATATTCTCTCCTTTTTTGTTTTTGTTTCACATTTTCTTAGTATTCTGTGTGCCAATGACTGGCTAAATCTTCCTATTTACTCCAACAGCTTCTCAAATGTGGTTTGCAGCCATGTCCTTGTTCACCCCCTGAAGAGTTCTCTCCTGAACCTTTAATCTTCCTGCTCTGGGGACTGGTTTACTCTGTTGGTCGGCTACACAACTGTTGGTCCAAGTTTCCTTTCACCGCCACCCTCAAAATTCCCTTTGCTTTTCTCTTAGATTGGTATGTTAGTTTGGGTACTGTAGAGAAACAAATCCACAGAAACTCATGTATAAGAGAGTTTTATACAAAGGTTAAGAGTGCATCAAGAAAACATCCCAACCCAGTGCTGCCCAAGCCCACAAGTCCAACATTAACCCATATGTCCAACACCAATCCACAAAGTCCTCCTTCATC